AGTCTTTCCAAGCAAAAGGGGAGTACAAACCCAGTTTGGCCGCCTCTACGGAGCTCTCTCTCTTTTTTCCCCAGGAGAAAAAGTGTAGAATGGAATTGTACAACTGGATGCTTCGTATTGATCACAGGTGGTGTACATATATAGGAATATAGAGTGGCCTTTGGCCATGGCTATACATGCGCGAGCGGCTATGCATGCAAAGAGGGAGCGTGGGCGCCATGGAGACCGGGCGCGCATGCGTGCGAGAGCGCATGCTCTGCGGTCGAGGACGTTGGCGAGTGCGCGGCCATGGCACACGAGTCCGTTGGAGACTTGGCGTCGCTGAAGACTCGGGTGGAGCTCTAGCCGTTGGTGGTGCTCCGCTAACACCCCCCGCAGTGTCGACGTCGGCAGTCGTGACGGAGAGGCTATCCCTGAAGTCGAAGAAGAGCGCCGAAGGGAGACCTTTGGTGAACACAACGGCTAGCTGTCGCGCACTGGGTACATGCGTGACGCGGAGCTTGCCAATGGCTACCTTTTCCCGGACGAAGTGTATATCAAGTCGATGTGCTTGGTGCGTCGGTGATGGACGGGGTTCCTGGACATGTACACCGAGGAGATGTTGTCGCAGAACGCCACCGTTGCCGTGGGCACCTTGTACCGAAGTTCACCGAGGAGTTGGCGTAGCCATGAGCACTCGGACACAGCATTGGCTATGGCGCGATACTCAGCCTCGGCACTCGACCTCGATATCGTGGTTTGTCGTTTAGACGACCACGAGATGAGGGATGAGCCAAGGAAGACGCAGAAGCCCGATGTAGATCGCCTCGTGTCCGGGCATCTAGCCCAGTCCGCATCCGAGTAGGCAGTGATCGTCGGCGAGGAAATGGCGTGCAGTTGTATGCCGAGATGAGCGGTGCCCTTGACGTACCGAAGGATACGCTTGAGCATGGTGAGATGCACATCCCGTGGCGCATGCATGTGAAGGCAAACTTGTTGCACAGCATATGCGATGTCGGGGCGGGTGATCGTCAAGTATTGCAGGGCACCGACGAGGCTCCGATAGGAGGTGGCGTCGTTGATGAGGGTGCCGTCTGTTGCCGAAGCCTTGCCCTTCGTGTCTGCCGGAGTAGCGACAGATTTGCAGTTCGCCATACCTGAGCGCTCCAGCAGGTCTTCGGCGTACTGCGTCTGGGAGAGGAAGAAGCCGTTGCCTGTGCGTCGAACACCAAATGCCGAGGAAGTGGTGGACGGGCCCCATGTCCTTCACTTTGAAGGCGTCCTACAGCCGCTTGACAATCGATGATGCGGAGAGAATCATGTCGTCGACGTACAGCAGGAGATATGCCTGGGCACCGTCGTGGTTGTACACGAAGAGAGACGTATCCGCTCTCGACTGTACAAAGCCGAGCGAGGTCACGTGCCAGACGAAATGGTCGAACCATGCGCGGGGAGCTTGCCGGAGGCCGTAGAGGGAGCGTGACAGGAGGCAGACGTGATTCGGCCGTGCAGGATCGGCGAAGCCCGTGGGCTGCTGATAGTAGACTTGTTCTTGCAGGTTGCCGTGCAAGAAGGCGTTGGAGACGTTGAGTTGATGAGCCGGCCACTTGCGGGACGCCACGAGCGTGAGGATGGTGCGTATAGTCGCCGGCTTGATCACCGGTGAGAACGTTTCGCCGAAGTCGATGGCGGGTCGTTGAGTGAACCCACGGAGGACCCATCGAGCTTTGTAACGCTCAAGGTTGCCGTCGGGTTTCATCTTATGCTTGAACACCCACTTCCCGGTGATGATACGAGCGCCGGGTGGCCTGGGAACGAGGGTCTAGGTCTGGTTGGCCTGCAGTGCGTCGTACTCGGCTTTCATGGCCGTGTACCAGTTGTCGTCTTTGAGAGTCGAGCGGACGCTGCGAGGCACCAGCGAAAGCGTTCCTGTGGCCGCCAAGGCGTACTTGGGGTTCGACTTGTGGATCCCGTCACGCGCTCGAGTGACCATCGGGTGACCTGTGGTCACTGGTAGCCGCGATGGTGCGATCGGGGATGAGGTCGTGGGCGACGTCGTGGGCGACGTCGTGGGCGACGCTGTGGGAGCCGGAGCAGGTACAGGTTGTGCCGTAGTTGATGTCGGGGTGGCCGCGGACTGTTCGGGGCGCCTCCCGAACGCATAGTCCGTGCCCGCGTCGAATGGTGCGGTAGCTCGGTGACAAGACGCTGCGGCGCGTCGTCCTCAGGCAGAGTTGGTGGAGAGGATGAACTTGACGCAGGCTCGCGGAGGTCGAGGTCGCGGAAGGGGAAGACGTCCTCGTCGAAGACGACATGCCGGGACATGATGACGCGACCGGTGGTGATGTTGTAGCATCTGTAGCCACGGTGATCGGCCAGGTACCCGATGAAGACGCACGTAGTTGAGCGCGCTGCGAGCTTGTGCGCGGACGTGGAGATCATGTTGGGGTAGCAGCGGCACCCGAACACCCGGAGCTCGTCGTAGGCGGGTGGCACGCCGAAGAGGAGCGAGTATGGCGTCGCGGAGGCTGTGGCGCGACACGGGCGCCGGTTGATCAGGTACGTGGCCGTGGCGAGAGCCTCGGCCCAGAACGCCAGGGGAGCTGCACTGTGAATCAACATAGTTCTCACACAATCGTTAGTGGTACGCAAGATGCATTTCGCCTTGCCATTCTGCTGCGATGTATAGGGACATGAGAGATGCAGCTGAATGCCGAGAGAGGACAGAAGGAGGCGCATGGCATATGAATCAAACTCGCAGCCATTATCTGTCTGAAAAGCAAGAATGGGGAGGCGGAATTGGGTGTGAACGTATGAGATGAACGCGCGAATGGTGGGGAAAACGTCAGACTTGTTGCACAGGGGGATGGTCCAGAGGTAGTGTGTATAATCATCAAGAAAAACAACATAATATTTATATCCAGAGTGGCTATAAACGGGAGAAGTCCAGACATCTGAATGCACTATTTGAAAAGGGAAAAATGTATGTGATGCTGAATTACTGAAAGGTAAACGAGTATGCTTGCCTAAGCGGCAAGAAGTGCAAGAGTGAACATCAGCCTTATTACATTGAAAAGGAAAAGTTTGTAAAACTTGAGATGTAACTGGTTGGCCGGGATGTCCGAGCCGTTGATGCCACAGAGACGCCGTCGATGATGCAGTGAGAGCTTGATGAGGTGGAAGGCGGAGGGGGTAGAGATCGCCGCTGCTCTCACATCGGAGCATCTCCTCCCTGGAAGGAAGATCCTTTATGGAGAAACCAGAGGGGTCAAATTCAATGGAAACATTGTTATCACGAGTTAAACGACGAACGGAGATTAAATTCTTGATGAGTGAAGGAGAAACAAGAACATCATTCAAATGTAAAGGAGAAGTGGCAGTGGGAATGACAGTGTGTGCTTGGTGAGTGACTGGCAAGCGAGCACCATTGCCCACTATGATGGAGGATGAGGAAGGACGAAGAGTATGGGAGGGAAGATTACCGGGGTTGGAGGACATGTGCGATGTGGCACCGGTGTCGAAGTACCAGTCAGACGTGCTCTGCGGGTGATGTGGGACGCCGGCAGAGTGCAGAGCAACGTAGAGGCCCCCGGTGTTGAAGGAGTTGTTGGAGGCGTGTGGCGACGGCGGCTGAAGGTGAGAGGCCATCATCGCCTGCTGAGGCTAGAACGGCGGTCGCGGACCCAAGACCCCCGCGCCGGGAGCGCAGAAAGGCATAGACCATGCCTGCACCATGCCTTGCCACGGGTTGAATCCCGCGGTCCAGGGCGCGGTCTGGGTGTTGGAGTTGGTGGAGCGCGTGTTCCCGACGCCGTTGCCTTGTTTACGGCGCCGATCAGAACGGTTGTTGGATCGGTTTCCGCCGCTGCCGTTGTTGGTGCGGTTGTTGCTCGGTGCGGAGGAGCCGGTGTTGCCATCGGTGGAGCCGATCCCGCCGCCGTGCCCGGAAGGGTTGGAGGACCCGTTGGAGCGGTCACCGTGTGTCACGGTGAGGGCCTGCCCAGCCTCGGCGTTGGCGTCGTGCTGGAAGCTGAGCTCCTCGAGGATGAGGAAGGAGCGGGCGCTCTGGAAGGTGTGCGGCGGGTACTTGGAGGTGATCACCGGCTTGACGTAGCCGTTCCGCGGGTTGAGGCCGCAGAGAAGGTTCAGCACCTGGCTGGATTCGGAGACCGGGTGGCCGATGTCGCGCAGTTGATCGGCGAGGCGCTTCAGCTTGGTGCAGTAGGTGATGATCGTCATGTCGCCTTGCTGCAGGGAACGCAGCTCGGCCTCCAAGTACACGGCGCGCTGCATCTCGTTGTCCTAGAAGAGCCCGGCGACGGCGTTCCACAGGGTGAAGGCATCGTGGCGATCATGGCGGACGGTCTCGAAGACGCCCTTGGAAACGGTGGCGAGGATCCAGTTGACGACGCATGAATCAACCATGCGCCACTCGCCATCGCGGTCGGCGTCGGGGGTAGTAGAACGAACATGGCCCTCGAGGCCGAACTTGCCGAGGGCGGAGTCGAAGAAGTGACGCCACTGGCCGTAGTTGCCTTCATCCATATCAAGGATGACATGGACATGGTGGCGGATGGAGATGCCTTGGATTTGGGAGGCCGAGGCGGGGGCGACAGAAAAACCATCCGCGGAGGAGGAATCAGAGTGGGTGGAAGAAGGAGCCATTGGAGCGGAAGAGAAGACGTGGCTTAGGGACTCTGGAAGAGAACCTGGGAAGCTGATACCATGTAGAACGGAATTGTACAACTGGATGCTTCGTATTGATCACAGGTGGTGTACATATATAGGAATACAGAGTGGTCTTTGGCCATGGCTATACATGCGCGAGCGGCTATGCATGCAAAGCGGGAGCGTGGGCGCCGTGGAGACCGGGCGCGCATGCGTGCGGGAGCGCATGCTCTGCGGTCGAGGACGTTGGCGAGTGCGCGGCCATGGCGCACGAGTCCGTTGGAGACTTGGCGTCGCTGAAGACTCGGGCGGAGCTCTAGCCGTTGGCGGTGCTCCGCTGACAAAAAGCACCGTCATTCTTTCAGTTTCACGAGCTCCACGAACTTCTTGAAATTGTCATGCGACGACCCACCCTCGGCGATCGACCGGCACGCCGCGTCCTTCAGCGCGATCACCCTCTCCCTGATCCCGTCGTCTCCGAGGACTCGCTCCACTTTGCCGCTCAGCTGCTCCTTCGTCACGACGCCGTCCGGCCCCGGCGCCACCGCCAAGCCGGTCCTCCACACGTTGCAGATGTAGCTCTCGTTCTGGAACTGGTCCGTGAAGTAGGGCCAGCACAGGAACGGCACCGCGTTCCGCACCCCCTCCAGCGTCGAGTTCCACCCGCAGTGCGACACGAAGCACGCCACCGCACGGTGAGCCAGCACCTGTCCAATGGAAGGAAGCACCGCACGGTGACGGTATGCAGTGCGGACGACGCTGCAAGTATGGCGTGGAACATATGTACCTGCTGCTGGGGGCACCAGCTCACGATCATGCCCCTGCCGCCGACACGGTCCCTGAACTCGTCGAGCCACGCTTTGCTCAGGCCAGTGGCGAAGTCGGGCCGCACCACCAACAGGAAGGGCCGGCCAGCGAGCTCCAGCCCCAGCGCAAGCTCCTCGAACTGCCGCGGGTTGAACACGGTGAAACTGCCGAATGCCACGTACACCGGTGTCCTCCGGCAAGAACTGCCCCACCGGCTTCTGGAGCTGATGGTCGGCGAACAGGGGGCCGATGGGCAGGATGCCGGGGTACAACTTGAACGCGCCGGGTTCCGCGTCGCGGAACGAGTTGCAGAGGATGACCTCGGCGAGGTCTTTGGCCTCGTTGTTCTGGGTGACGAGCTGGAATATGGCCGGTTGGCCTTCCGGCGCGCCGGCGTGGTTCCACGGTAGCTTCGACGTGTGCAGCGGCGGCATCCCCGGCGCGAACTGGGATGTCTCCTGCCGTTTTGGCCAGCCTGCACTTGTTCGAGAATCACGAATCAGAACGCAGGCCATCAGGCAAGGCAATTCACAGTTCTAAAAATACGATACCAAAATTGACCCTCTCGACCTGGTTGGCATGGCTCCACTTCATCCATGAAGCTTTTTTTTAGGACTTCAGCTCCATGAACAGCTCTATGGATGGAGCTGTAGCCGTTTTGATAAATCGTTTGGCAAAACAGCTTTACATATAGTTTTTCTTAAAATATGCTCTCAGAGAACGCCATGTAGAATGAGGTGAAGCCAAGAGAAAGCCACTATTTTTGGCTCTTTTCCACCTCAAAGCTCTGTGAGAGCACGTTTTTAAAGGCTTCATCGGTGGAACCGTTTTATTTTACCCCGTTTAGCAGAAAACGACTCAAACAGCTCCTGAAGCCGCTAGTGCCCTGCGCCGACAATTCTACCGATGCGCATGCATGACACATGACAGCAAAAGTATCTGTAAAAGTATATATACTTAGCAGTGCTGACAAATGAGCAGCTACTCCTACAAGGGTTGTAGCAGCGGCGGAGCCAGAATTTCACGGCAGGGTATTCCATGTATAATTTTTTTTTCAATACAAATAAGCAACAGTAATAAGCAAAGTACAAATACGCAATAGTAGTCATCGCACGCCGTGTTTGCCGGCGGGCTTGGACCCTAAATACAAAAAGTGGTTGCCGGCCGCTGGGGCTGGGCGCAGCCGCGTCGCAGTTGAGCGGAGCAAAGAGGGGTGTGTAGGGCCAAGGGGGAGCGCCGGAGTGGTGCTTTCGTGCCGTTAGTCTACGCCACCGGCGCTTCCGATCGATGGCTCGATGCGAGTGACGAACGGGAGCACGGAGCATTGAGAGATGTCGATCGTTTCTGCCTTTCTTTTTTTTTTGATAAATTCTGGAGTACGTGACTTCGTGCGTTGCTACTGCTGGTTGTTCTATTGCGCTAATGGGCCATATTTGCAGCATCCAACATACCAACATATACATGTATACTATATTTGTTTTGTTTCAAAATCATGGGTATTCCATGGCATACAGGGGCATACCCCTGCCGCCGCCCATGGGTTGTAGTATCTCAGTTGCAAACCTTTCTCGTCGATGAGGCCGTGACCTGTATCATCTGAGGAATTCTCAACGTTATGTCGAGGAAGGCAGCCGACCCGGGCCAGAAGGCGGCGGCCCTGATGCCGAGCTTCTTGGCGACCTCGAACGCCCATCCCATGGCCTCGTCGGCGACGAGCCAACTGATCTTTGTGCCCCCGGAGGCCTCAGTCCTACCGACAAGCTCCTCCAGGTAGCCCGGCATGTGCCGCGACATCCCGTCGACGAGCTTGCCGAGGTCCTTGCGGTCGTCGCCTTCGGCCAGCCCGTCCGGGACGGCCACCAGGTGGATGCCGTCGAGCGACCGGCCACTGCCGTCAGCCGGCATCGCGTCTAGCACGAGCGCGTGGTTGAGTTCGGTGTTGACGAAGGTGACCTCGATGCCATTCTCGACCAGCCGGTGGGAGAGCTGCATCAGAGGGATGACGTGGCCCTGGGCAGGGAAGGGCAGGGCCAGGACGTGAGGTGTCGCCATGGCAGGAGCTGGGAAGTCGGAAGCAAAACCAAGACGTGGATCTGCGTCTGAAACCTTGTGCTTGTGGTGATGATGGCGTCTCGGTTGTGACACGAGTACCACCGAGCTGAATGGATGAGTCACATGGAGGATTGGCGGCCGCTGCCTTAGCTATAGCCAGATAATTATATTTTTTCAAAAAACAAACTTAGAAACAGAGCATTCAATATATCACATACACCTTTAAAAAAGAGGAGTATACAGGACCGAATTCTCTACCTGACCTCTGTATGTCGTATATACCCATTCAGACGCATCCAAGTCCAACAATATTTAGGGGATGCGCATTTTAGCATTTTATTACACATTGCAGTCTGGGCAATTTTGGTAGTTCTTTTGTTTGCTGGGCAATCTGGAAAACACGTAACAAAGCTTGTTTGAGAACAAGTTAATCAAAAATCCAGTCAAAATCATCTGTCATGCTTGTGTCCTCATGTGATGCGATGTTGGCATTAAATTCAGACTTAGAGAACCTTTGACCCAAAGTAAATTTTGGCATTAAATTCAGACTTACTGGCCACATGAAACAACCAAAATTCATATGACTATATAGTGAATGCCAAATATTTCACTCATCCAAATTAACAACAAGGTTCACAGCATTATTACACACATCAAACAAAGATAGGAGGAGCGAACCTCCACATTCATAACATTTTTTCAATAGAAGTCCCAAGTTTAGACAACACACATTTGTTCAAAGACTAATTGAAAACCATATATACACAACAGAGAGCCCCTAACTATATTCCCTTTGATAGAAAGGACTTGTTTCATGATCTTTCCTAAAGTAAGCTTTAAAATGATTGTACCAACACCTAGAGCATGCGGATGTGATCTGTTTTGCATCAGTAAGGCTCTTGTACTACCGACCAGGGGTAGATCTAACGCTTGGGGTGGTGGGGAAGCCCCCCAACCCCTCCTATAAGTTCTGGCCACTAGACCATTACTAGAAGGACCTCGAATGTCGAGAGGTTGAAGACGGCAAAGAAACTTGTGACTTTGGGTTATCATACACGTGGGAACCAATTCATTTTCTTAATTGGGCTAGTCCACTAGGGTACTACGGAACTCCTTCCTGCCTTCTCTCTCTTTTTTTGCCGTTTGTGTGTAATGCCTACCCCTCTAGTGGTACAACCTTCCGTCTCTCAAACCCCCTCGGTTTCCCTCAACTCGCACCTCCATGGTTAGGCTTGTCATCTCTTATAGGTTCTGTCAAATACATTTGGCTTAAGCGCAATAGCAAAGCCAGCTGAGTTATCAAAAAATACATATTAGGTTTTGGATTGTTAGACATTTAGGTCAATTTTGACATATTTTAATCCAGAAAATCAGTCAAAAAAAGTTAGTGACAAGTATGCGGATGTGTGATCTATCCACAAAGACAAACATGTTAAACATACTAATCAAATGAATAAATAAAGCAATAAAAGTTGCAAGTGTGTATCCAGAGGTAGGGCCGGAGGTGCCGATGGCGCCACTCGCACTAGTCAACATAGTGGGCTATTTGAGGTGTCCGATCATGCTCAATGTAGTGCAGGGAGGGACCCATGTAGTGTTCTTCGCAGGTCGTGTATGAAAGTATCAAAGGAAAGTAATAATTGTTCTCCTTCGTCATGTTCTTGCTTTGATCGCTAGGTACAGGAGGGTGCCGTACCCTGGGAACACAGAGAGAGCGAGAAGTCGTGCAAGATGCACTATCCAAAAATCGGTTTCAGAGGCCTGCTCTCCCAATGCTTGTGCATGCAGGAACGGGGATGGAAAAACAAGAAATTTATCGCGAGACTGGTGGAGAGTGCCTGTATACTTACATGCATTGGACAGGAAGCTGAAACAAGAGTCAAGAAGTCAAAGCACCAATGGTCACAGAGACAAAGCAACAAGGGTTGTCATGATGACCATTAACAGACATCGGTCAATGGAAATCGAAGCGTCAAAAAATGCTTTGATGACTCCATTAATCGGACACCATAACATGTTGTTGCGATACTGGCGCCTAATGCAGAAGCTATTGCTTGGATTTACCTAGACGAGATGCTCACGAGAGATCGCACACACTGCACAAGAGATTCGATGTTTGGTAACAAGGTTCGGACGAACCCTACGTCCCGGAGCATGCTTACGGGCGCTTCTCCCTGATAACGTGACACTGACACCGACCACCCGAGCCCCCGCGAGCCTATCGCTTCGTCTTGCTTTCTCACTCTCGTGATTGAGAGGGTTACAAGTGCAACCCCCTCCTCCTTTTATAGAGGGGGCATGTTACAAGAACCAACACCTCGCTCGCTTAACCCTATACTGCTACAATAGAAGTCCACTGTAATGCCATTAGTATAAATAAATATTCAACACATTTCTAACACATGCCTCAAGTGGCAAAACCTAGCTCGTCCGTTCACGACTCACGTATCACTCCTCTAGTCAATTCCCCATATAGGATTACACATTTGTTGGACCTAGCATTTAGTATAGGCCTTAGAATTTATTATATTTTAATTGAATAAAATTGGGCCAACACAATTACAATCCAACTAAACTTAAGTGCACCAACATTTAAAACGCCAAGACATCATCAGCATGTTCGCTTGCTCGTATATGATCGTGGATTATAAGCTGGAATATTATTTTTCTCTCACACCAAATCAGCCAGCAGTAAATAATCCACGATCGTTTACGACGAAATAAACATGCTGCATGTCACATGCATAGCAACAGACACTATGCTCCCACAAGTACAGACCAACATGGAGAGATTCCTTAACAGGCTCACTTAAGAGTTTCAGTAGTCCTCATCATTCACTGAGCAGGTTCACGAGCTTTTTGAAGTTGTCGTCCGAGGATCCCCCTTCGGCGATGCACCGGCGGGCTGCGTCCTTGAACACCCGCGCCCTGTCCTTGATCTCGGCGTCGCCGACGACCTGCTCCACCTTGCTCCTCAGTTCCTCCTTGCTTACGATTCCGTCGGCGTCGGGCGTCACCGCCAGGCCGGTCCTCCACACGTTGATGACGTAGCTCCGGTTCAGGTACTGGTCGCAGAAGTAGGGCCAGCACAGGAATGGCACGCCGTTCCTCACCCCCTCCATGGTCGAGTTCCACCCGCAGTGCGACACGAAGCACGCCACCGCGCGGTGCGCCAGGACCTATCAACAATGAAATGAAACGGCAAAGGGAGCCCGTCTTAGTCTGATCGACTGTTTATGCCGGCCAATTGCGACGAAAAAGCTCTGATGATCGACTGCTTATGGGTTCGGTCGATTGAATTAGATGACCTGTTGCTGGGAGCACCAGCTGCCGATCATGCCCTTGCCAGCGACGCGCTGCTGGAACTCGTGGAGCCACGCCTTGCTGAGGCCGGGGGTGAAGTCCGGCGGCACCACCCACAGGAACGGCCGGCCGGTGAGCTCCAGCCCCTCGGCGAGCTCCTCAAACTGGTGCGCGTCGAAGATGGTGATGCTGCCAAAGGCCACGTACACGACGGACGCGTCCGGCTGCGCGTCCAGCCACTTGATGCACCGCTCGTCCTGCGGCAGGAAGTGGCCCACGGGCTTCCGGAACGCCGGGTCGGCGGACAGCGGGCCGATGGGCAGGATGCTGGGGAAGAGCTTGAACGCGCCGGCCTCCGCCTCGTGGAAGGAGTTGCTCACCACCATCTCGGCGAGCTCGTTCAGCTTGTTGTTCCGGGTCACCAGGTCAAAGATGATGTGCTGTCCCTCGGGCTCGCCGGCGTTGTTCCACGACAGCTGCGACGAGTGCAGCGGCGGCATCCCCGGGGCGAGCTGGAACGTCTCCTGCCGGACTGGCAACCCTGCAGAGAAGGCACGGGCACGTCAGAATGGACTGGACTACACTACTCAAGCTGCAGGTTAGTGAACATTACATGTAGCAAAAGTCTTCCGCTGGCTGGTTGCTGTCAAGATATGATTTAGAGTGGCGGTCTCTAAAGAAACCTTAAACAAGACTAATCTGGATCTGCCTTAGAGATTTGTGCGCAATGACTACGGCGGTGGAAGGTTTACGTGGATCTTATCCGTATCTTATATAGTAGCACTTAAAAAAAATAACGAACGGCCGGGTAGAAATATCAGTAATAGCCACCCTTGTCGTTTATGAGTCCTTCGTCTATCAGCTTGGGGATCTTGAGCATGAAGGCGAAGCACGCCGTGGCCGCCGGCCAGAAGGACACGACCCGGATGCCGAACTTCTTGGCAACCTCGAAGGACCAGCCCATGTTGACGTCGCCAACGAGCCACTTCGCCCTGGGCCGCCCGGCGGCCTCCATATCGGCGAGGAGGCTCTCCAGGTAGCCCGGCATGTGGCGCGAGTAGGCGTCGACGAGCTTGTTGATGTCCTTGCGGTCCTCGTCGTCGGCCAGCCCGTCCGGGATGGACGCCAGGTGGATGCCGCCGCCTAGCGCCGCCACGCCGCCGCCGGTGGCTTCCAGCGCGGCTACCACCAAGGCGTGGTCCACGTCGGTGTTGATGAAGGTGACCTCGAAGCCTTGGTCGACGAGGAGGTGGGAGAGCTCCATGAGCGGCGTGACATGGCCCTGGCAGGGCATCGGCAGCACCAGGACGTGAGTCTTGGCCATGTGGCCCATGTCTAGCCAGCCCTTCTTTCTTCTTCTCTCTATCTCTCTCAGAGGATCGGAGGCGATACTACAAGAACGTTAACACTTAACAGTGGGGTACTGTCAAGCACACTGCCTTATGGCCTTATGGGCAAGCAGGAGAAGAGAAGCTATACATATATAGGAAAATGAGCACGGATTTTTTCTGGCTCGCCGGCCAACAGTTCCACGTTGCGCCGCCCTCTCGAAGGGGTCAACTAGGTTACACCAACCACTATTCAGCAGGTCACGTGGCAACAAAGGATTCAGTTGTACGTACGTTTATTCAGCCAGATACAAACAATGTACACAGTACACTGAACCAAAGGTCTGTCTGGAATCAGCTTCAGCTTCA